CGAAAAGGCCCCTAATGGGAGGGTTGTTCGCAGCGCTGTATCCCCACCTGAGCCTCCTGTGCTCGTCCTCTGCAAACCGGAGCCGTGTCCTCGGCTGGCGAGGACGAACGCAGTCGCCGTGTGCTACCGCGGCACTCCCCGCACCCCCCAGCAATCATTTTGGGGGTCCCTGCCCATCGCCCTTCCTGGTGCCAGCCCTGGCTGCTGCTGGCACCCCGGTGATGCTGGGGGAAGTGCAGCTGGGCCCCCCACGCTTCTCGCAGAGCCCGCGCGTGGCGGTGGGGGAGCCGCCTCTCCCGGGGTGACGCACGCTGCACAAGGCAGGGGCCTGGGAGGGTCAGCCGGACCCTGGACCCGGCTCAGAAACCTCTGGCTGCTGCAACCCCCACGCATCCCACTGCAGCTGAGCCCTCGGGGGTCAGGGCAGAGCATCCTCGTGGCAGCTGCTCCCCGGGTCACCCCCTCGCAACCGCCCAGTGCCGATGAGCGGCGCTTGGCACGGGGTGAAGCCGGAGGGGCCAGGCCACGAGGGCATTTCCCAAGCACCTGCTGCTTCCTTCCCGAGCAGGGGAACAGGCCGGGCTGGGGCGCGTGGCTGCTTGGGCGGCCCAGGACGGGCTCCGAGCTGCGATGCCAGGTGATGTCTCTGAGCGTCCAGAGTGGGCAGCAAGGCAGGATTTCACAGGGGCCGTTGGGAGGGTGCTGCCCATGACCTGCCCAGGGCACGGTCCTCCCTGTCCAGGAGCCCATCGGAGCGTGCCAGGCCGGCAGGGAGCCCAGCTGTGGCGCCCCTGCGAGCCGGTCTGCCCGGCGCTGGGCGTGCTGGGCTCATCCAGGCCCTGCAGTGAGGAACACGAGGGCTGGGGGCGTTTTGCTGCCGGGTCCCGTGTCTGCCCGTGGGCACCGTGCCAGGGGTTGCATCCTTCGGCCGTGGCGGGACAGCGGTACGGGCTCCCGGGGGCCAGGTTCGGGATCGGGAGATACGAACGGTTTGGTCGCTGCTGTGCCGGAGCGAGGCAGCCCGCGCGGGGACAGCGATGGGGGTGCGGCAGGGCTGAGTGTCCGCTTGTGCTGGCATCGGGGCGCCAGCTCGGCCCTGCCCCCCAGGGCAGCTCTCCCACCCCCCACCCCACCCGCCCACTTTCCTTTGCTGGGCAGCTGCAGGCAGGCTGCCCCAAGGGTGCGAGGGGATGGGGTGCAGGGCCCGCCCGCGCTGGGCTCCTGGCCCGGGCCAGGCTGCCGTGTGGTGTGTGGCATGGCTGCAAGTCCGCAGGAGGCAAGCCCACGCAGCAATAGGGGGAAGCCTTGCCACAGGCAGGGCATGTTGGAAGCAGCGGGTCCCCCATGCCGTCACGGCCTGAGCTCCTGGGAAAGCAGGCCCTGGGGGTCGCGGCCGGCTGGACGCGTTGGATGCAGCTCCAGCTGTGCAGAGCGCCCCATCCCCATGGAAAGCAGTGGCCAGCACAGCCCGGCTGGGCTGGCTTCCCTGCACCCTCCCGCCCCGCATGCGCTGGAGGCGCGCGCTCCGGCACGCGCAGCACAGGCCTGCCCCCGTCTCTGCCCTGGTTCCTCTCCCCCCGTCACCCGCCAACACACCCGGGCCCCGCGTTATTCACAGGACAAGGGGCGGTACACGGGGTGGCCAGGACACGTTTTCTCAAGCATATCATACATCCCCGCTGTCGTGGTCCAGAGCGGGGAGCCCTTGTCCTGCCCGTGGCTCGCGGCTGCAGCGCCCGGCCCAGCCTTCATCCCGGGGCAGGCGCGCGGCCCCGCAGAGCCCGACGTTCAGTTCGGGGGACGCTCCGCGTTGGGCGCACGTGCCAGCGGCGCGGTCCAGAGCCAGTCTGGGCACGGGCAGTGCTGGGTCTGCACAGCGCAGTTGAAAGCACCCCAGCGCCCCCCGGCCGGTCCTCGCTGCCCCGGGACGGGCCTAGCCACGCCAACGACGGGACGGGACAAAGCAAGCCACGGAGCTGCCGGGCAGGGCTGAGTCTCCGGGGTCAGGGCGGGACCCTGCACCATCCTCAGGTGCGGGGCTGAAGAAGCCGGGTCTGGATCGGGGGCTCGGGCGGCCGGCACGCGGTCGCCTCCCCGCAGGGATGGCCGCGCCGTGCCCCGGTGCTCACTCCCAGCGGAAGTCCTGGCCGACGGTCTCATAAAAGCGGACGTTGTAGGGCCGGTAGAAATCCCGGAGCTGCTCGATGACCTCGGGGTCGATCTGCACGTGAGTTCTCCCCTTGGACTTGCCCAGGCAGCGCGGCAAGCCGCTGCTCTCCGTCTTCTTCAGGCAGGGGAACCCTTTGGTCTTGTTGAAGTAGAAGTGCTGGTCCGTGATGACCCGCTTGAGGCCCAGGAAGTCCTGGACCTTGCCCATCTCGCCGGCGGGGTCGGTGATGAGCCGTTCCCCGCTGACGAAGTGGATCTGGGACAGGGGGAAGTACTGGAGCCAGCTCTCCAGGTGCAGCGCGTACATGCCGATGCGGATGGCGTTCCACGAGGTGTCCACCAGCCCCAGGCTGCGGTTGCGGAAAGACAGCCCCTCGAAGGTGGGGATGTCGGGCTTCTTGGACAGCGTCTGCGTGTAGTCCGAGATGGCCCGCGTGACGGGGTTGCGCACCACCACGATCAGCTTGGTGTCCCGCGACATGGTGAAGATGCGCCGGGGCGCTTCCCTGGTCACGAAGTAGCTGGGCGTCTTCTCCATGGTGATCTGGGTCCCCAGCGTCCTGGGCATCAGACTCCTGCAAGCAGAGAAAGCACCTGTTAGGCACGGCGCTCCTGCCCTCGCACCACGGCCCACAGCCCCATCTCACGGCTGTGCACCCTCCTGCCGTGCAGGCCGGAGGAGCAGCTCCTTCCACCCATGCCCTGAAGCCTGAGACCTGGGGGGCCACCAGCCGAGCTCCCCCACTCCCCTTCAGCTCCGTGAGGCACACGTGTCCTGGCCCTTCCCCTGCAAAGTGAGTGTGTGTGTGCACGTGCGCGTGTACAGTGTCCCTGACCACCCTGACTGCCTTCGATGATGAGGTGACTGGCTCTGTGGATGGGGGGACACCAGTGGACGTGATATCCTTTGACTTTAGCAAGGTTTTGATACAGTTCCCACAATGCTCTGGCAGGCAAGCTGAGGGCATCCGGGACGGATGAATGCGCTGCAAGGTGGATAGAAAACTGGCTGGAGCATTGGGCTCCGAGTAGTAATCAATGGCTCGATGTCTAGCTGGCAGCCGGTATCAAGCGGAGTGCCCCAGGGGTCGGTCCTGAGGCTGGTTTTATTCAATATCTTCATTAACAACCTGGAAGATGGGATGGATGCGCCCTCAGCAAGTCTGCAGATGGCACCAAGTGGGGGGAATAGTAGATACACTGGAGGGGAGGGCTAGGGTTCAGTGACCTCAACACATTGGAGGATTGGACCAAAAGAAATCTCATGAGGATCAACAAGGACACGTGCACAGTCCTGCACTTAGGAGGAGCAATCCCCTGCACCGGTGCAGGCGGGGGTGACGGGCTGGGCACCAGCTCTGCAGAAAAGGCCCTGGGGATGACGGTGGGCAACGAGCCGAACAGGAGCCAGCAGTGTGCCCGTGGTGCCGAGAAGGCGAACGGCTTCCTGGGCTGCATCAGTAGGAGCGGTGCCAGCAGATGGAGGGCAGCGATTCCTCCCCTCTATTCGGCACCGGGGAGGCCACATCTGGAGTGCTGTGTCCAGTTGTGGGCCCCCACTACAGAAAGGATGTGGACACATTGGAGACAAAACGGTTGGGAACTGGGGGACAGGACTGGTGAGGCGAGGCTGAGGGAACTGGCCCGGAGAAGAGAAGACCGAGGGGGATTGAATAGCAGCCGTCCCCTCCCTGCAGGGGGGATGCAAAGAGGATGGGGCTGGGCTGCTCTCAGATAAAACGTTCTCACGAGGAGGGAGGTGAGGCGCTGGAACAGGCTCCCCTGAGACGCTGGACCCTCCGTCCTTGGAGGTGTTGAAGCCCAGAGCAGACAAAGCCTTGGCTGGGATGATGTAGCTGGGGCTGGTCCTGCTTGGAGCAGGGGTTGGACTGGATGTGAGCTCCCTTCAACTCTCCTTTTCTAGGATTTTATGTAGAGTGTGTAGGTGTGTGTGTGTATATAGTGTCTGTGTCCATGTGTATGTGTGTACAAGCGCCCATATCCACAGCATCCTTGCTTGTGTGAACGCACGCAGTGCCCTTTCCTGTGTGTATATGTACAGTGTCCCTGCATGGGTGTGCAAGTGCATACACACAGCAGCTTTGCCTTTGTGTGTGTATACACACAGTGTCCATGTCTGTGTCTGTGTGTGTGCGTGCAGGGTCCTTGCCCCCTTGCTGGCTGACCCCTCTCTCCTGCCCTGAGGCTGTTCCTCGGGGAGGGCGGCGTGCACCCTTCTCCAACTCGGGCTCGTCGCTCCTGCTCCTGCCCCGGTGCCCGCAGGTCCCAGGGCTGCCAGGCGGAGGCCGAGGCAGCCGGGTCTCAGCAGCCCCCGGTCCAGGTGCCTGGAGTCAGACCCCTGTGCCTGCAGCCCCTTGGGTCGCCCTGGCCAGGTGCCTCAGGCCCAGCCCGGCCCCGCCAAGCCTCCATCGCCGATCCCCAGGCCAGCGAGACATGGGGGCCCTTGATGCCAATGCAATCCAAGCCCAAACCGGACACCCCACCCAGCCCGACCTGGTCCCTGTGCAGCCCCCGGTCCAGGTGCCTGGAGTCAGACCCCTGTGCCTGCAGCCCCTTGGGTCGCCCTGGCCAGGTGCCTCAGGCCCAGCCCGGCCCCGCCAAGCCTCCATCGCCGATCCCCAGGCCAGCGAGACATGGGGGCCCTTGATGCCAATGCAATCCAAGCCCAAACCGGACACCCCACCCAGCCCGACCTGGTCCCTGTCCCTTTCCCCGGCGCCCGCTCCAGGGCCAGACAAATGCCCCTTTTCTGCAGCGTGAAGACAGGTGGGGGGACAGACCCAGGTGCCTGGGAACACGGTGCCTGGTGTGACATGTCCCCACTGTACACCCACGGGGTGGAAAAATCTGTGCTGCAGAGATGCACATCCTAGGTAGGACAGACAGCGGGCTGTGCAGCAAGCCCACGTGGGTGAAACAGGGCTCAGGGGTGAGGGGGCCTGGCGCCACAGCCGTTCTGCCTTAGGACAGCTTTGAGACTAATTAGCAGAGCACCTCATTAAGCAGCTGGCTGCAGCTTCCGTGCACAGAGACTGGGCGTTGCAGGCCACCGGCCCTGCGTCGGCTGCTCACGCTCCTGCCTTGAACCTCTGCTCAGGGCCCTGTTCCCCCTCTCCCACGGGCATCTGCGCCCCGCTGACAGAGGCATCACCATGCAGGACCCAGGGCGTCAGAGCCCTCACGGGCTCCACCTCGCCCGTGCCTGGCTACCTGCCCTGTGTCTCTGTGCCCACGGGCTGGGGACCTACACAGGCAACCGCCCACTTGAGAGAGGGTGCTGATGCCCAGCCGGGAGCATTCACACCCCAGTGCAAAGCTCAGCTGGCTGGGGGTGTAGTCCTGTCTCTGCCACCGACTGCCTATGTCGCCCATGGCCAAGTCACTTCACCTCTCAGGCCAGGTTACATGGGACAACCCCCCTGAGCCGGCCCCAGAAAGGCAGCGCAGGGGCCCTGCCCCACTCACAGATCACAGTTTCCTTCCCCCCCCCCCCCCACCCCACCCCCCCGGCACCTACGTGTGCAGCTCCTGCAGAACCGGAGCCTGCGCCGTGCCGCGCAGCTGGGCCGCAGGAGGCTGAGCACGCCCAGCTGGGGCTGGTGCATGGTGCCAGCCCAGCCTTGCTGGGGGGTGAGCGGCAGCACGCCGCTAGGTCCCTGCCACCACGGGGAGGGGGAGGGCGCGTGCCGCGGTCTGGCAGGGGCCCGCGCGCCTGTGCTGTTTATGGCTCCAAAGCATCTGTCACGTTTCCACTGTGCAGCGAACGGCGGTGCCTCATCGGCCTCCGCTGGCAGCTTTGGCTTTAACTGTGCAGTAGCCGCATGCGCCAGGAGCCGCTCGAGGGGAGCCGCGTGCCGGCCTCTGGCAGTGCGGTGCTTCGAACAGAAGCCGTCTGTCGGGCAGCGCCGGGCGGTGTGTGCCCTGCACGCCATGTCCAGCCCTCCTGCCAGGCTGGAACATGGGCATGGAGCTTGCTGCCCTGGCCCTGGCCCTGGCCCTGGCCGGCACAGGGGTGCTTGCCTGGAGCGCTGGGGCAATGTGCAGACGAGCCCAGGCTGGTCCAGCTGCAAGCCCCTGCCACCATTTGTGACCCTCCTGAGGCTGTGCCAGGCACCGGTACCCATAGGGCAAGAGGGGAGCTCTAGGAAGCGTGGGGCAATGGAGGTGAAGGAACTTGGCCATGGACTACACAGGCAGTCAGTGGCAGAGCCAGGAATATAACCCCAGCCGACCGCCCTCTGTGCTGGGGCAAAGTGACAGTCTCTTGCCTGGTGTCTCCGTTGCCCCGCTCAGAGCCATGGGATGGGGGCCAGCGCACGGGGATGAGGAGGGCGGGGCGCTGCGCTGCTCCCCGTGTCGCTGACCACCTGCTGGGTTCGGTGCGTGCAGGATCCAGCCGCTATGCACGCCGGCAGCACCACTGCTGGCGTGAGCTCAGCTCCTCGGGCTCCCTGCACGTCCCCCACCCTGCTTGGTGTCTCACAGGTGGTAATCCCACGCGTGACGCGCTCCGGCTCTGCGGGACATCTTGCGCTCGGTGCTGAGCCCTGGGGCTGGGCTGGGCAATCTGGGATGTTACCTGGTGCTGCCATGACCAACGTGCCAATCCTGCCAGGACCGGGGACCTGGAGCGAGGCCGAGCACCCATGATGGGGGGAGCGAGGGGCACTGGGCAAGGCACGGAGCTGAGTGCTCACCCCCGTGCTCACACTCGCAGCTGGCCGTGCCCCTCGCTCCCGGCTCAGCAGCTCCTACTGCCCCGTTCCTCCCAGCACGTGTGTGCAGGTTCTGCATTTATGTGGCAGGTTGCTTGTGGGAGCAGCTCTGTGAGCCCCTCCACCGGCACCTGGACGGTATCAGCTCCACGGCCGTGACCCCGGAGCGATGCGTGAACGCGGGGCTGTGCGACCCGGGGCCTGCGCCCTTCCTGCCCCTGCCCGCGGGCTTGCAAACAGAGGAGAGCCAGCGCGCCTGCTGGCACGGCAAAGGGCATTGCCACCTCCAGCCCTCCGCAATAGCTGGGCACAAGGGCCGAGCTACGCGTACCACCAGGACCGGCAGCCCCCCACCTGCCCTGTGCCACGTTCCTCGTTAGAAGAGAACCAAGTAATTAGTCTGCATAAATTAAGAGGCCTGTTCTACACAGGTGCCATATCTGGGCCTGGCCTAATTGGCCTTTCCCACTGCTTTGCTTCTGCCCCGTAAATCCAGCTTATGAGTCCCATTGTTTAATGACTGTCAGGAAATGCTAATTGAGTCCCAGGCACTACTGCCGCTATCTCCACATCACAAACAAGCTGGCGCCGTAAATCAGCGCCGGATGGCTTTATAAGCGGCTCGCTATTACAATATATCGGTGGAGAATCATAAAACTGCTGTTTCATTAATGGCCCATCTTCAGGCTTGTTAGACTTCCATTACGTGAGCTATTAGGTCCATGTATTTAAAAAATGAAATTACAGGTTCTAATCAATTATGAAAAACACAAAGTAACGGCGGCATCAATTACAGGAACGAGACAAGAGGGTGCTTTTGGAAATGGCCTCCCCGCGCTGGGTGCGCCCGAGCAGCAGAGACTGCTGAGGCGACAAAACGCAGCCCGGGCTAGATAAATAAATCACCGATGAAAGCAGGCAAGGGGGAGAAGTGTCATCCAGACATTCATCTTCATGTTAACGGTGGGATCCCCAGAGCTGCGGGAGCTGGGAAAATGCATCGCAAACTTAATTACAGTTGACTCCAAAATGATATTTGGGGCCCGTGTGTTTGCAGAGTTATTTGCATGCAAATAGCATGTCACACTTTGGGGCTTTATTTTTCTTGCCTGGCTCAGCTGTGAAGTCTCTGCGGGCCCTGCCCGTCACGCCGGGCCCCGGGGGCGCTCCAGCTGGCAGGGTCCCGGC